GCTTTATTTTGAACGGTCAATTTGTATGACAGCTATATGCTATAGTTGTCCGATCTGAACAATTTCTTCGGGTATTGTAATTTTGCTTTGAATAATCAGTTCTGTCAAATTTTATGAAGATACATTCACAAATAAAATAGTTTTCCATATCATAATTTTATTTCTATCGGTTAGCTTGTATGGCGTCTATATGCTATTATCGTTCGATCTGAACAATTTCTAGAGATATTGTAGTATTGATTTTAATATTTATCCTTGAAAAATTTTGTGAAGATATCCTTACAAATACAAAATTTTTCCATAGAAAAACTTGATTTTGATCGGACAAGTTGTATGGCAGCTATATGCCATTGTCGTTCGATCAGAACAATTTACCCACACTTTGTTACGCTTTTTTCGGAAATTGATTAGTAGCAAATTTCATGTAGATGTCGTAGCAAATAAATATGTTTTCCGTACAATAACTTGATTTTGACCGATCATTTTTATGATAGCTACATGTGCTATAGTGGTCCTATATTGGAAATTCCGTAAAAATAACCGCTTCTTGATGAGGAAAGAGCTTATTCAAAATTTGGGATTGATATCTCAAAAAGTGTTTGTTACAAACTAAGTGAGCACCCTAATTTATCCCGTTCAGGGTATAAAGGTGGGAGTCACCATTTTGGTGCCACTTGAAAAATGGTAACAAAGAACGGGAAGCGGAAACTAGCGGTTTTTGGGTGTGTGCTAGAGCATCAGCTACGCAAAAGTCTTGAAATAACAAGAACAACAATACTAAATAATATTCACAACAAGCAAGGGCGTCGATAGTAAAGACAGCGCTGAAGATATTGTAACCAAACAATGAAAGTGTCAAACTGGTGCAAAAAAAAAAATCGGAGACATACACACACGCGTAAATTTCGCAGAAAGTCACCAACTGAAACTGCCAACCAACCGAAACTGATACGCTTCCGTTCGAAAATTTCTTGCGCCAAAGATTTTTTCCACTGCCTAGTGCTTTTTCTTGTTGTTGTGCTGCGCGCTTGTTTTTCTTCCGACGCATATCGGCACAGCAATTGTCCCTGAAATTTGCTGCAAAACTGTAATAAATCTTGGCTAAACTCGCAACAAATAATACACGCCGCCATTGGGTGTCTCTTTGTCGTTCTGGGTCGCCTACGCTTTGGGAGCTGCTTGCCCGTTAACTGTGTGCCTCGTTCTCTTTATTTTTTGTTGATGGATTCGTTTCCCTTTGGTTTTGTGTTGTCCAAAAGTTTTTGACTTTCACAAACAAAGAAGAATTGGTTTGCAATTATTTTTGAATTGCAGCGAAGCAAATCTGGCTAAGCGCAGCTGGCGCTCGGCAAAAAAGCGCTCTGAAAGGCGTAAGCTGGACTGGGCAGCAAAAAGAATTTACAAAAATCAAATAAATTACGTTTGTCAGCAAAAAATGTAACAAAAAAGCTCAACTCTATACTCGAATGCTGCCGATAAAGGCAAGTGTAGACACTTGAGGACTTTGAAAGTTGCAGCAACATTTGCTCTGGAGCTTTTTGTGGAACCTTGAAGGTGTGCGGCGATTAGGGCAATCATTTGTTAAAGCGTTTTTGTTGTGATAAAATGCACATTTGGGAGTTAACGCTGCTTTAAAAGGAGAAAAGAAAGTGCGACCGGAAAAATGGGAGATAAGGCAAAGAAATTTGCTGTAAGTGGCTTTAGTTAAACTTTTTTTTTTAAGCTTTAATGTTGGGATTATCGGGAAATGACTTTAGTTTTTCTATGAAAGTCAGTATTTCGGCTGTTTAACTTGTCAAGAGCACAAAATTTTTTGAACGCACTCAATGCAGGTAATGAGATCATCAAAAACTCGCCTCCTACGAGCCGTCAATTCAGTCAAAACCGACAACTGCGAACATCGAAATAGTTAAAGAAGCAATGCTTGGTAAGCATTGTGTTGGCATCAGAGAGATTGCAGATAATCACAAAATCTCTCATACATTTTCGAAATGAAGCGTGTCAACCCGTTCTCGTGACTCGTAGGGAAAAGAAAAAGAGTTGAAAAAGATTGAAGGAGGGTTTTAGTATTGTCTGAACTCTCTAACAACTCCAGCTTTAGACTTCCCGACTATTGCCGCGTTTTCCAAGTCGAGATTGCAGCCATTAAGGTAGCAGTAGATTTACTACTAGGGAGTGAAGCATACTCCAGACAGGTGTCCATCCACGCAGAGCGTCTTTGTGATAAGACTGGCATAGGTTCCTAAACTACGTGTTCTCTTTTTTTGTCTGATAGGCAGTTATGGAAAATTCGGAAAGTTCAACCAAACTATACTAAAAGTCAACCATAATATACTTATTGGCAACCTTTGCTATGTTCCTTTGTATTTAATTGATAGATAGATAGATAGATAGAAAGACGAGGATTGCAACGCAATAATAGATGCCTTTATTTCATTGAGAGTCAGTAGTCAAGCCAAGTTGTTACTATCTTTTAATTTGAGAGCGGCAGTTTCAGACGTGTTACTAAATTGAAATTCACAGTTGTAGGGTAAAGTCTCTTTATAATTAGGAATATACAATCTTGAATTACGCGGGATATCGTCGGATATCTTTTCGTAGGTACTTGCGATAATATCGTCTACTGATTGGCCGAGAAAATCAAAGCTTTTCTTAGTCCACAATTTTAATGAATTCTAAAATATCTCCAGATTTTTAACAGGAAAAATATCATCCCCGAAATCAAAATTTACTTTATTATTACTTTCACTGAGTTTTACAGTCGAAATCTAAAAAAATTTCCAAATTTTCGCCAGGAAGAACATCAATCTCTAAATCCATATTCAGTTTAGACCTATAAAGTGATCCTACATCCAAACCTGTAGCCCCGGATACTTCCCACTAAATATTTCATCTAATAATTATTTCGGAACTTAATATCGGGACAGTGTGGAAATTACTACTGACCTCATCGACACAACAATCAAGTTGTGAACTTTTTCAAGCCCTTGTCATCAAACTACTGAACCCAATGATAAACTGATTACGTTACCATGCCTTTCTGCTTACCTCTTGTTCTTACACTTCCATCAAATGATAGACTGGTAGTTAAACCTTTTTATATACCTTTCGATAGTCTGCATTAATTTCTTTTTTGGCAACGAGTACACTGCAGCCTTATTTTCGAGCCACTGACCATGTCTTCATAAGGGTTGAGTTTCCGAAATCTTATCAGCCGCGAGAGTAGGTTGTACAAATGGGGACAAGGAGAGTCGAAATTGAGTTTAGCATAGTAATATTTAAGGCAAGAGTCATCCACAAAGTCAAATATATATTAGGTTGTCAAAAAAGTCTTGCGGTATTTTTATTGAGTTTTCAATTGTTCATAAAAATTTTTTTGATGACTCATGTCCAGCTCTTGACCGATGCTACGGCTGCTACTATGCCGCCGGTCTCTTTCGACCAATCAGTGATTTTATCGCAATTTTCGACGACGGGCATTCCGGAGCGTGGCGCATCTTCGACCACCTCTACACCAGAACGAAAACGTTGAAACCATCGTTGTGCGGTGGAAATGGAAACTGTTTCGGGTCCATAAACTGCACAAATTTTATTGGCGGCTTGAAATGCATTTTTGCCTTTATCATAGTAGTACTGTAAAATATGCCGTATTTTCTCTTTATTTTGCTCCATGTTTGCGACGCTCTAACTCACGAACAACTTAAAAGAAACTAAGACTATCAATCAAACACTTGTTAGCGCGTGAAATGAGCTCTCCAAAAAGTGATAGCATGACCCGCTGCGACGAATAAAACTAGAACTACGAGCTCTCAGCGCCAACTGACGAAAATACCGCAAGACTTTTTAGACAATATTATTTATGCGCACCATCTGGCGACTATGTGATCTCTATCTCAAGATTGATGGCACGAAGTGAAAAATATAAACCTGTTCGACTGTGAAAAACCTATTAAGCAAGACCGTGATTTTAATCGCATAACCTAACTAAGTTCAAATTGGAACTCGTTTGATACTCGTTAGAGTATTACTTTGTTAAAAAAGACGAATTTGATACTCCTCAGACAGTTTACAGTGCTAATAATGACCGAAAAACAGGAATAAAGATTTTGATCTTAGTTCTTTTAGACATTCGTTGAATACAATAAAACTTCGAATGACTGTCACAATTGCATTACTTTTATTAACCCAATTCCTTTAATTCAATTCCAGAATATTGCATATATTTTCATTTAATACTCTTACAATAAAATAATAAAATTCTTCACAATGCGATAAAGAAATACGAAATAACATTTTGTATTATGCTCGGCTGCACACACCGAAATTATGGCTACAGTGCAGTGGTACAAGGGTGTACGCAACGAGTTGAGACGAACAGCAAAGAATTGAAGCGGAACTGCGAGCCATTTCTTAGCATTTATTTATAACGCTGCTAACGGCCGCAGGCGGCAAGTGTTACGCGGACGCAGACGTAAAGAAATATGCGAGGAAGCAAGAAAAAACAGCAAAATCAAGCAACGCTTTGTGGTTTAAGCGTTGGAGGAGTGAGTGTGCGCGCACAAAGGTATGCAACAAAAGTGTTGGAGTGGCGTAGCAAAGTCTTCACTTCTGCTTTGAATGAAAATATTAGCAAAAGACAAGGCTAGTCAAGTTGCCGAGCAACAACTCAGCTGTAGTTTGATATATGTTGTAAGAAATGTGTGTAGGCGAAAAGTTATTAGAATCAGAAGGCGTTAAGGCGCAACGTTGCCTTGCAACGAGCATAGCAATTGTATGAAATTAACCAGTGAAAGCGCAAAAACTTGGCGCGCCAAGTGGAGTGAAGTGGAAAGAATGTAATTAGTGTTGATTTGAAGCAGCAGCTAGTCGCTGGCAGCTTCCGGAATTGTGCAAAAATTCGCACAAAACTCTTGCTTTGTATTAAACCTTAATTGCATTGCTCTCCTTATTATTTTAATTATTTTTAGTTTTAATATTTCACCATACTCTCTTCATTTCAGCATGGGCATACAGCTACAGCATGGTCACTCGCATGGCGGTATGTCCGGCGGGCATGGCCACAGTCACGGCGGCAAGTCAAAGAGGCAGAAGAAGGGTAAGAAAGCCGCTAATTTGCAAGTGGTTGCCAGTGAGGAGAGCAGCAGTAACCTAGCGCTCTCCACCGCCGCCATTAAACCGGCTGCCAGCAGCGAAAGACGTTTTGTGGCCGGTCCGACGTGTACACCCACAGGCCATTGCGCGCTGCCACCAACGCAGCGTCCGCTCGAAGATGGCGCTGCCGAACTTGAGTTGGACGCCAATGATGCCGCTATGCCTGTCTCCGGTTTATCCACGTTCTCTTACCAGAATTCGACTTCGGCGCAGGAGCTGCGCGCCGAGATTGCTGCGGTCATGGCGGAGACAGCGCCGGGTGCTCATCATCATGGCGGTGTGGCGTCACGTGAGGCGGAGAATTTGAATGTACGCGCCGCTTTTATACACGTTGTCGGTGATATGATACAGAGTGCGGGCGTATTTGTAGCCGCATTGGTGATATTCTTCCGTCCGGATTGGGCGATTGTCGATCCGATTTGCACGTTCATCTTTTCGATCATTGTGCTCTTCACGACATTTACTATCATGAAGGATGCGCTCTTGGTGAGTACATAATAGAGAGTTATAAAGAAAAATATAATATTCAAGAGAAAAATGAGCAAAAAATAGAGAGGAATATAAAGAGAGGAAGAGATAGAGCAGAAATTAAATATTGAGAACTGATTGGAATTTGTTAGATCTAAAATTTTTCATAGATTTTGGAATTTTTTTTTTAGTTTCTTTTACGACCTTCATACTTTCCTGTTTGACCGTGAGTGGATAGAAACTCCATTGGTTGTGACATTAGATGATTTATTTCAACTCTCAATTAGGAAAGTATTTTTCAGAAACTGTCTTGCTGAACTACGGTTCTGAACATATGAAATCTTCCCTTAACCGACAGCGTGGGATCTTTATTACTTTGTTTCATGTTTTATTGCAGTATCCCTCGGATAAACCTTCAAGCTTTTGTCAGCAGTAACTCGCTTCAAAAGTAAAGTAAATTTCAAATAAACCTTGACCTGCTTTGGGATCTTTAAGTAAAAAAGTGGAACGTAGATCGTCCTTTAAATGACTTGCCCTTAGTAAGGTTCATATCGCCTTTATAGTACGTGGTCCAATAGGCTTTTTTTTTAACTGTCCAACCTTTGCCAAATAGAGCTTGAAGCCACTTAGTAGAGATACTTTATGTGAACTTGGCAAAGTTGATAAGGTTGAAAACTAACTTCGTCGATTTATAAGGGCTTGGTACTCCATAACAAGACGTTTTGAAAGCCTAAAAGAAGCAGCGTGCACACCTGTTGAGCTTAGGGCAAACAGAGTGAACCAAGTGAAGTTAAGTTACATCCAAAAATATTGTGCCATATCACCTTTTTGGTTAGGGTTATCCGCATTACCTTACGTTTTGGTTATGTTGGCGTTGATATAATTTGATGAAGAGACTGTAGGAACATGATGGAAGTACTAATTGGTCATTGTCTGGTGGTCCGCAGAATGGTGTTGACAGATCGGGAAAACTGCAAAAAATGCCTAGAGCGGGGCACCAGGGAAACAATCGAGCATCTCTTGTGCACTTGTTCCGCATTGGCAAGACTGCGCTCTAAGAATCTGGGAACCCCACAGTATGACACACTAGAGGAGGTATTCAGAGTGAGGCCACAGAGTCTGTTAAAATTCCCGTCAAGCCCAGGCATCCTTAACGATGACTCCTTCTCTTAGACCTAGCAAGTGAACTCCACCAGATATCGCAAAAGATCAAACTGGCCTATGCGTGGCTTATTGACATACCAGATTAACCCTATCTAACCTAAGCTAGATTGGGGCCAGTGTTAATTGACGTGATTTTTAATTGGTATACTGTCTTGGGATACCATCTAATCAAAAGTAACCCGGAATCATAAAAAGCAGCAATTAAATTTTCATATATTTTAATAAAAATCTTAGTTTTTGTCTTTAACCACCTTTTTTGTCATACCAGAGCATAATTTAATTTTTAATTTTCTACAGGATTGTTATAAGCCTCAGCAGGGGGATGCCATGCAGTGCCTTCAGGAGTTTGGCGTTTTTCACATTCGACTCATTTTGCTATTTGCTAAATTGTTGGACAGTTTCGGCATCGCTTTCATAAACCCATGTTCAACATCATATCTCTTTTGAGACCTCTACCCGAAAAGTTTCAAGTCTTTTGTTATATAATATATCTACCTTGGCACGCTCCATACCCAAAAAATTAGACAAAATCTATTGAGCTGATCCATACACATGTTGTGTTCTTCTGTTCAATACAACTATCTTCAAGCACGGTTCTTTACCTTTAGCGATGCTATCTTCATTATTCGTACCTATATCGGTTAATGACGACTCGCATAAGGCAATATTCCAATGAATTTATAATCATCAAATCATTTGAGCCTAAGGAAAGTGAAATCACGATTGGTTCCAAAATCGCTCATTTTTTCCAAAAATAGTGACGCGCTAACAACGGCTTTCTGACTTCCAGGATGTCATGAAATGTATTATAACTGACGATGAGGCTTGCATCTATGTTTACGATCTAGATAATCATTCGGCCGAATATCATAGTAAGTGGGCACCAAACCCAAAAAAACCTCTTCAAAGCAGGTCAAAAATCAAGATTACGTCGACAGTTTTCTTTGATTATGGGAGTGTGGTGAACTACGAATTCCTTCTGACTGACCGAACTGTCAACCAGGAATACTAGTTGCGTGTTTTGCGGCCTTTTTGTGAAGCCATTCGTTAAAAAAATTCGGAATAATGTGCCAACAACTCTAAGTTCTGCATCGTCGCATACTGCATTGAGTCTTCGTGAGTTGTTAGCCACTTTTCAAGCAATATCGTGCCGTTAACACTTCTGGCTATTTCGCAACCTTAAGCGACGGCTTCGAGGAAACCGTTTTGAGTCCATTGCAGACATTAAACGTGAATGGCTACGCGCATTGAAGACTATTCCGGACATTGACTTTAACAACTCTTTCGAGGATTGGAAAAAACGTTGGAACAAGTGCATTGACGCTATGAGTGATTACTTTGAGGAGTATGATAGAGATTTTGCAGAACAAATTTATTATTTTAAAACGTAAACAAAGTCTTACTATCTTTGACTACTATGTTGGAGCTTTTTCTAATTATATATTTATATCATTTGACGGTTTTATCGTTTTGTTTGCTAGCTTGGTATTTTCTGAAGTCTTTTTCTCATGCTCCCTTACTCTCTCTCTCTCTCTCTTTGTTGTAAGTTTTATACCCTAATATACACTATTAGGTTTGGAACAAAATTTGTAAAAACGAGGAGAAAATGTAACAGACCTGAGTAGCTGAGTCGGTTTAGCAGTGTTATTCTGTCGGTCCGTCTGTTTATACGCTATTCAGTTCTACAGTTTTTGACATATCGAGCAGAAATTTTATACATGTGCTTTTCTTCCCAAGTAGCTGCTCATTTGTTGGATTCACTGATATCGGACTACTGGTGAATACATCAGTATCTACATATACAAATTGTTCCAACATAATAAAATCCTTATCTGGAAAACTTTTTATATAAATTTGGCACAATTTATTGTATTTTTACGCCGTTTACCTTCTTATATAGTTCGGTGCCCCAGTGTTAACGTCTTTTCTTGTTTGTTTTTCTTTTCTCTCGGCCACCCAACACAACTCCACACCAACTATTGTCAACAGATTGTTTACACATTTTGCTTTTATTTACTTTATTTGCTTGTCCCACTTTTTAATCTCTTAGGCCGTTTAAATTTGATTATCCTGTTAACGGTTTTGATTACTCGAACAACAACAATTATAGTTAAACACCACTAATATTTGCTTTATTCATTTTAATTTTTCCTTTCTTTCAATCTTTTTTTTTGTTTCTTTTTGTTTCCTGCTGCCCTACCAACAACTTGGCAATCAAACCGTAACACGCTCACGCACTCACCCACATAACGGTATATATGCGTGTGAATTAATGACGACCGCCTACGAATGTGTACTCTGTCCTGGCTTTTGCTTTGTGCGGCATTCTTGGCTCTGTGGCTTTGCGTGCAACTGTCATTCGGTTGCCTTGCTGCTTACTTGCTTTGCCGGTAAAATGATAAATAGGTTTTAATGGAGGGTACACCCAGTTATATGCACTACGCTGAGGTCCTTGAAGTCTTCGAGCATATTGAGGGTGTGAGACGTGTGCATAATTTGCGTATTTGGGCGTTGAGCATTAATAAAGTCGCCCTCTCCGTACATTTGGCAATTGGTAAGTAGACGTGCTTTATATGTTATGATATGTTATGATATGTTATGATATGTTATGATATGTTATGATATGTTATGCTACGTTATGCTATGGTATGTGGTGTATTTTTCAGTTATTATGTATGTTCTGGCTATTTTATGCTCTGCTGTGCTAGTGTTATACTGAGTTATGTTACTTTATGATTTCTTTATCATGTTATGTTAACAATAAAAAACGTACGGGATAATATTTATTATAAATCTGCATACCGAAAATTTGGGTAAGAAATGAAAAACAACTATCAGACGAGCACTAGATTCCGATCGTTCAGTTTGTATCGCAGCTTTATGCTATACATACATAATCAAAGATGCATCCATTTTTACACCTCGAAGTGAAATAATGACAGCTGGCTTGCGACAGTAATAGACTATAATGACACACTACTAAGGTGTGTACATTGAGAATAATAATAGCAAAAAATTTAAATCAAAACATGTGCCTGATTGTATGCTCTGAAATGAGCGTATTAAGTTTTCTACGAACTTTGTTATACCGGACGTCCGATTCTCTCTAAATAAAATGTCCGTACATGTACGCTGCAATTTATATTTCGGGATTTGGTAACACTAGTGTAGCAATCTGGCAACTCACAACTTTATCTTAAAATTTAGCATTTTTGATGTTATACATACATACATACGGGCGCTATTTATGTTGTTAACAGTAATTTCAAATATTCGACTCAACCCAAAATTATATTTATATCACGAAAACTTTCGCCCGTTCAGTTTTCGCAGCTTTCGCCGTGGATTAACTCAGCAACATTATCCAATGACCATCCATCCATCCAAGTCCCATCTTTTTCGATCGTAGTGTGAATTCAATTGAGGTCGCCGATCGCTCTCAGTTGAATTTCGCGAAAATCGTTTAAAATGAGTTGTTTTTCCGGAAACTGCACGATCGATTGATTGTGAGAAAGGGACAACTATGACTATTAGTGGGACCAGCCTACATTCAATGATGCATGAACATTTGATTGTAAAAAAAAAAAAAAAGTTGTTATACATACAAAATAGACGATCAGAATTAAGTGCTTGCATGTAGTAAAGTTTTTTAATTTTTCGAGTCATCTTCAAGAAACTTGGATGGAATGTTGTCAAAGGCAGTGATGAAAACTTCGAAGAAACTGTTTCGATCGGCTCGTTTTAGCTTCTTATAGCTGTATATATCACCTAACCCTAAGCGAGATAGATATAGGGTTATATATACAAGTACACTATACAAATAATCAGAATGATGAGTTGAAATCCGGGTGACTATCTGTCTGTCTATCCGTCGGTCCGTGTGAGCTGTAACTCGAGTAATAATTGAAATTTCTTGATGAAACCTGGTATGCAAGTTCCTTGGTAAAAAAAAAAAAACAAAAAAGTACCAGTTCGTAGAAGAGCGTAATCGGACAACTGCCACGCCCACAAATCACTAGTAACCGAAAACATATAATATAAAGTGCAATAACTAAGCTATAAATTCAGATATAAAATGTAATTTGGCTCTGGGGATCGCAAGACGCAACTGTGTGTAAGTTTTTTTTTTAAAGTGGGCGTGGTCCCGCGTTCTAGCAAATTTAATCTAAATGCCTCCTAAACCCTAAAGCTACAAAAACCAAATTTGTTAAACTTGAATATTATAAGAACTCGTACAGGAAATGGATGAAATTGAATGATAATAACGCTCACTCCCCATATGGCGGTACTGTTAAAAACACAATAATTTAATAACTAATTACACCGGACACATTTACATTTACATTTTTACCTCCAAACTGATCTGTGCAGGCTGTATGGGAACCGATGTGATAATTGGTATTGCCTCTTTTTCGTCAATTCCGATATCTCGACCCGACAGACCGATTTCGACTAAATTTATTACGTAGGATTCTTCTCATATTAATATATGATAGTTTGAAAATGGGCGAAATCGGGCTAAGTCACGCCTACTTCCCATATAATGCAATTTTAAATTTCATTTGATTCTTCACATTCCAGCGTACAAATAAAATGCAAAAGAAATCTTTTCCTGACAATAGTTACTTTGTGCATCAAAAATGGATTAAATCACATTCATCCTTCCCTGAACCTCTAATATACCTAAGAAAAAGATTTTCGAAAGAGTTTTATCATCAGAATGTTTCTTTGTGACGGAAATAGACAAATAATTGACCCACTATCCACATAACAAATAATAGGATTTTCGAACATCCGGCTGACTTTATTCCATATGATTGGCACTCTAATGAAACCCAGGGAACACTTTTTGCTGCTGCTGATTTAAATAAATTTATTTAATTTTATATAACTGCGCATTCGTCTCACCATTTAATAGGTTGTCAAAAAAGTCTTGCGGTGTTTTTTATTTTTATTTATTTTAATTTTATAACGGTTTAATGACTTATGCCCAGCTCTTGACCGATGCTACCGCTGCTACTATGCCGGTCTCATTCGACCAATTCAGCGATTTTATCACAATTTTCGACGACATTTCTTCCGGAGCGTGGCGCATCTTCGACCACCTCTACACCAGAACGAAAACGTTGAAACCATCGTTGTGCGATGGAAATGGAAACTGTATCGGGTCCATAAACTGCACAAATTTTATTGGCGGCTTGAGATGCATTTTTGCCTTTATCGTAGTACTGTAAAATATGCCGTATTTTCTCTTTATTTTGCTCTATGTTTGTGACGCTATAACTCACGAACGACTTAAAAGAAACGGCAATCAATCAAACACTTGTTAGCGCGTGAAATGAGCTTACCAAAAAGGTATAGCGTGACCCAATGCGACGAATAAAATTAGAACTACGCGCTCTCGGCGCCAACTAGCAAAAATACCGCAAGACTTTTTTGACAACCTAATATAATAACATAACATTTGCTTATATATCAACACGTTTTGTTATGTTTTGCATTTTTCACTGATAATTATCATGACTGTTGCTTATTTATACTTTTAAAAAATTGCAATTAGTTTAATCCTTTTTCTGTTTATTTACATTTATCGTTATGTAAGTGCTTTCGTTGGTTTGATATCTGTTTATCAGTAATGATATGTGTGTGCCAGTGATGTGATAGTTTGCGGTGCACGCGGTTTCAATGGTATTTTAAGTGTTTACATAAAAAATTTAAACCTACTATATGATTCACATATGATGTACTTTATATATTGCATATATATAAAGTACATGCCTGCCAACCATGAGTGGGTAAAAAACTAGTGAATCAGTGGGTAAACATGTGTATTTTGCCATAGGCGCGTGAAGGTTATACCCTCTTTTTCCCACACACGTACGTATACATGTGATCATACATTTCTGTTGCGCTCATTCAGCAGTGCCATATAAAAAAGTATATCTGTCCTGCTTTAATATCCCTCTATGTTGCCCTCATTTGGCAGTAAAAAGCATATCTGTCCTGCTCTAATATCCCCTATCGACGGCTGATGCAGGGTTGTATTTTAAACAGCTGATGCAGGGTTGCATTTTTTCATTCCTACTTCAAAAATTTTTTA